TGACATCATCAGCTTTTAGCTCATTCATAATGCGGTTCTTCAAGTAGAACTTTGCATCGGCGAAGTGTGACTCAGCCTCGGTGAATGGCTCGTCATCACCAACTATCTTCTTCTTGACTTCACCATCGTAGTACTTCAAGCATTGATGGTAGGTATATGGAACAACTTTATTCTCATGTATCCAAGGCCTTCCACGCAAGACGTTGTATGAAGTCTTTGAATCAATCACATGCATCCATACACTTGATCGCATATCTTCGATGGTGATCCCCAACCTGATTGCGCCTTTGGATCCTTGAATCATCACACGACTTTCCGAGAATTCGTTCATGGGAATGCCAAGTTCTTTCATAATGCGAATTGGCAAGATGTTCACTAAGGATCCTCCATCAACCAAAAATCGATTTACTCTTTCATTGCGCATATAGCCAACCAGGTATAATGGACAGTTATGAAGAGTGTCACCTAGTAGAAAATCGTCATTCGTGAACGTAACTTTTTTCTCACAGGCATTAACTTCTTGAGGAACGGACTCGATGAGCTTTTTCAAAGATGGTGCCAACGGTAGGTCGTCACTCTTTTCTTCCCATTTGCCAGCATGGCAACAAAAGGCCTCACTACCATCATGGGAAATCTTCGTGGGGAACCAGCTTGGCAAGAACTCCTCCAAGGTCACTAGATATCGTGGCTTTTGAAGGTAGTACATTTCCACTTTTTGCTTCTTCAAATGCTTAACTGGATTTCGTTTCCTTGTCTTTTTACCATCATTTTCCTTGTTGGTTGTTCTATTGATTCTTTTCGTAGGCTCCCTTTGTGGCACCTACGACGAGTCACCAACGTCCAACCTTCATCATCATCAAGTTGATCGACTTCAACTTTGTTGTTCTCTAGTAATTCTTCACCGTTACTTTCTTTAAAACTACATAATTCATCTGGACAGAATGAGCCAAAGGTGATAGAGACTTGGTTTGCGCTTGCTTTCTCATCTTCAAGCACGATCTTCTTTTCACGAGCCAAGTCCATAACTTTGTCCTTGAAGACAAAGCACTTCTCTAGAGGGTGGCTCACAAGTCGATGGTATTTGCAGTAATTTGGGTCATTCATTTTACCAGCTTCATTTGGCTGCTTCATCTCCGGAAGCTCAATGAGATTTAACTCGAGGAGTTCTTCAAAAATTGCTGGCACATCAGAATCCACAAATGGGTACTCCTTCTCTTGCATTTCTTTTAGAGTCAACTTTCCACTTGGTTTATCTTGAAAAGAAGTGGATTTCGTACTCTGCTTCTTTCTTACCTTCGTTATGAATTTCATAGGTGATGTGTTGACATTCATAGCTTCATTGTTTTCAGACTTGGGTACAAACTTGCCCCATTTCCTGACTTCTTGCTTGTTGTTCCCTTTGCGAGGCTTATAGATAGGCAGCCTTTCGTTTCCAGCGGAGGCCATGCTTAACTCCATGTCATGGGCACGAGTCGCAAGTTCTTCAAATGGTCTAGGTTTGATACCTTGCAAGATGTAGCGCAGTCCCTAATGCATGCCTTGGATGCACATCTCAATTCCAGAAGCTTCACTAAGCCTCTCTTTGCAGTTGAGGCTTGCATTCCTCCAACGATTGATAAAGTCGATAACTGTTTCCCCCTTTCGTTGATGAGTATTTGTAAGTTCTATTATACTCACAGTACGTCTCGTGCTATAAAAGCGATTGAAAAATTCTTGCTCTAGTTGATCCCATCTATCAATAGATCCAGCCTCGAGGTCTGTGTACCAGTCAAAAGCATTTTTTTTTAGCGAGCGGACAAACTGCTTGACGAGGTAATCTTCATAAGTCCCATCATTGTTGCACGTCTCAATGAAGTACTCCACATGTTGCTTTGGATTACCTTTATCATCAAACTGTTGAAACATTGGAGGTTGATAGCCAGCAGGCATCTTCAACATATCGACCCTTGCAGTGTAGGGCTTTGTGTATGTAAGGGAGGACTTGGCAGTAACTTCATACTTGTTCTTAATAGTTCCTTTAATGAATTCCTTCAGTTGATCGATTAAAATCATCCCATCAGATGAGACAAGGGTGGCCTTTGGTGGGGCTACAAAGATAACTAGGCCAATTAATACATTTTTCACTCTACACTTCTCGGCCTTTAGATGAGGAGTGTAATTTTTTTTCTCTGGCACGATAAAACCAAGAATGTAAGCACCTTGTTCCTCTTTCGTTGACTCCTCCAAAGGCTCAAATGACTCGATTTCCATGTCATCATCCAAACACAATGTCGAAAAATATTTAGAATGAGGACTAATATGCCCCAACTCTGGAATTGTATAACTATTTACATCCTCATATTTACATGTACTAGAATCTTCAAATATAACATTATCTACTCATTCATATGACTCTAGAACATTTTTTTCAACACTGGCATCCTCAAGAAAAATATGATCTAATGCTTGGTATTCTCGGTTTAGCTCATCGATTTGGTCTAGAAGATTTTTTTCAGCTTCACATAACTCATCATTAAATTGTTGGGCGTTACACGCATCAACCTTTGCACTCAAATTTGCATCCAAGTCATGCACAGCCAAGCCAAAATTGTCAATTTTATGTGCAAGCTCAACTCTCTCCTTACACCAATCATTTACCAATGTTGTTAGAAGACAACGTCGTTTCGTATATTCCCTTTAATCGAGAATATTCGTCCCAATACCAACCCTTACTCCCATATTCAAATTCAGATTTTCAAGAGGTCCGGCCATGACAAGCTCAAAACGACGGGACATAAAAGTCTTATGTCAACCTAGTGTCTTCATCAATAACCTTACCTCCGGATATTTCATCCCCAGATGTCATGTTAAGAGAACTAGAAACACCCTAAGAGAAAGATCAAATTGTTATAAAAATAAAAATATTTACAAAAAGGAAAAAAACTTGTAAAGATAAAAGTAAAAGTCTAATCTAGAAAATAAGCTAATTCTATGTCTCTGGCAGCGGCGCCAAAAACTTGTTGCGGCCAAACGCACACACAAGTATACGCGGTCGTCAAGTAATAAAGTGATAAGATAGAGTGTCGAACACACGAGGACTTGTGATTAACTATTAACTAAATTAGACTATCCTAATTATCTAAACAAGAGTTAAACCTAGAATTATATAACTCTGATCTAATTAAACTAAAGAGAAAATAAATAATGAACTCTGAACAAAGGAAGTGTAGATTTTATGTTATCAATGTAATGAAAACGATCCAGAGTTATGGGCTATCTAACATTCCTAGTGTTTCTTCAATTTTGAATTGATTAACTAATTCATCTAGCTTATTGGTTGACAGTGTTAATATTGCTCATAAGAATCTGTCAAGTTCTTACTCGCCTATTCAAGCTAACCTAACGCCTATATGTCTATGGAGTTAGAACTAGCAAGAACGCATTTATAATTCATGTACATAAACCAGGCAAGACAATTAGGTATATGTCTATCCTAACCGCAAATTCGTTCCCCGATGCCCAGGTTCAAGAACTTGCTTTATTTAATCCTATATGCAATCTAGAATTCCCACTTTCAAGTTCAATTCAAGATTCGTAGATAGTATTTAATTGGTGATCAAGCAATCAAATAATTAAGTGTACGATTGAATAAATAAACTGATATGATAAATCAAAAAATCAAAATCAATATTCGAATAACAATAGTCATGAAAGAACCACAACCCTAGAACATGAAGTTTAGCTCCACATAGACATGGTAGCCAAACAACAAATCATACAAAGAAACATAAAAATTACTAAGTTTGGTAGAAGAAGATGAAATCTGGCCTCCACGACGGCTCCTTGCTCTCCCTAGGTCGAATCCTTTCAAAAAGTATGTTAGATGCCCTAAAAGAGGCATTTTTTACTTATATATTGCGTACAAAAGTCGTGGGCCAAAGTTTCCCTTTTCCGAATCAGCTTCAGGGATTGATGCTGGGGTGGATGCTTCGCGTCTGCCTTAGCTTCAACTTATCAGCATCGCATGCTGGGGTGGATGCTTCGCATCCACCCTCTGTTCCTTCATCTCTGTTGTGCCCAAATGCGCATGCTAAGGCGGATGCCTTATCCCAACTTCACTGTTAAGGGTGCACCAAATACACTTTTTTATCCACCCTCTTCTCCTATAGCTGGAGCACCTTTTCTTCATATTTTTGCACACAACTTAATTAGTCATAAAACCAATAATTAACACATGTTGGGCATTTTTAACACTAAATAGCACCAAAAAGCGGTTAAAACATGGGTAAAGTAATATTAAAACATATAGAAATATACCCAACATCACTTGGCATGCCACGTCATTTGACCCGTGGCACCAAACTGGGCCTCTAGGAAGATGGCATAATGGGCCTAATAAAGTGGACTCATAACTTGTAGCCCAATTAAATAGGCTAGCCAGTAGATTTGGACCTATATATTTAAGTCATATATATTAGACTTATAAAATTAATCCAATTATATTAGCTCAAAATATTTGTTTGGACAAAATATATTTGAGATTAAATCCAAGTTTCTTATGGATTTAAATTTAATAAAATTTAATTGCCTACAAATACATGACAAGTTTTCTTATGCTAACCATGGTCAATTAATAGGTAGTACTACATTTTAATTTATTACATTGGATTTAAAATTTTGGTGTGGATAAATTTTACTCTTACTTTTCTCTAGGAACTAAAAAGGGGGGAAACGTTCAATAATGTAGTGGGTTCAATTATCATCGTCCCCCTTTTCCCTTCCATTCTGTAATCTCCCAGTGTAATAGAAAAAAAATTAAAAATAGAAAAAATTGTTTACATTTTTGTTTACTAACATCATTTATTTAATTGTATGTATGACGTTTGGTTTTGCTAAAACTTAAAAGGTAAAGCATGAGTATCCCTTGGAAAAAAAAATTGGTTTTCCATGGATGAGACCCAATACTAAACCGGTGACCTATGAGACGTAGTCAGATCACTTGGAAGCCAATGGAGAAAGGGTTTACACCAAACATGAGTTAGTATAACATAGAGTCGAAGGTGGATAATCTGTTAAGAGCTAGTAAAATCTACTGAAATGTAAAAGAACTTCACTGCCATGATCCATGCCCAACAAACTAAAGCCTATGATTAGTAACACGAAATGTTTACCACTAAGCATAGACATGAGGCTAAAAGCTACAGGATCAGGGAACAAATATTACAACTGCAAAAAGGAGTAGCTATTCACACACCTCAGTCTTATTAGCATCAACAAAGGAGACGAGTTTCCCTACTTTCCCTTATTTTTCCTTCTTTGTTTCCGCTTTGCCCTTTGCCCTTTGCCATTTGGAGTAGAAGTGCTGTGCTCCCAAGAAAACCCACCATGAAGTTTCTATTAGACTGGACATATTTCCTGTATGCTGAGAAGAGAGAAATGCAAGTTAGAGTTGATTGTTCTCAACAGTAAGTAAAAGATGCAAGAAACACCTACCTTCTTCCCAAGTACTCGATGATATCAACAGTGAGCGTAGACCTTTTCTTACTCTCAAATGCCAAAGATGCTGCTCTCCTCAGTAAAGCAGATCCGGCGACACATCCTAATATGGTTGGATTCATGCTTCTCTCCCCTTTAGCTGCACACTGGCGGGCCCAGGATAGGAACACTGCAACACTGCAGATTTACATACGTGTCAACATTCAGTAACACAGTTGTATAGGAGAGAGTAAACAGGAGATAGTTAATTAAAACTGTGAACTTTCATTTTACTAATGAAAATATGTACTGATTTCAATTTTTATACACGGACAACAAAAATAAGGTAGTCCTGTTACAACTAATTAAACAATACTGAAAATAATAACCATATGTATGGTAGAAAATGTAATTACCTCCCTGACAGTATGTCACCCTGCCCACCACAACGCCGCGGAGAACCATAAATACTCACTGCACAAGCTGCATATTCCATACCACTTGTCAGCTCATGACTTCCAAAAATATTTGAAGTAATCATTACAATAAACTTTGCTCCTCTTGAACTCATCATTTTAGGAGTATATCATTGAGACAGTAATCTTAGTCCTTAGACAACACCTGTTGATGTTTACATCTTTTTCAATTGTAACTTACAACTTGAAGACGCACCTAAGCATTCAGCGTATTTAGAGCCACCATTTATACATACAATACATCAACTATAGCCATTCCGTCAAACTCAAAATAAAATGGAATACATAATAATGGTGAAAATGTAGCCAATATCCCTTTTACTGCTAGGAACTCTAAAATGTGTATCTTGCCCATGAATTCCTCAAAAAATAAATCACATTAAATAGTGCAGTATCCTCCATAAACAAATCTGGTACTGCAAAGCGCAGATAATGACCCACCAAATAGGTATAGAGCAAAATACATTATGCATCTTCCTTCATATGGAAATGTGGTGTTGCAAATATTCATCAAAGCCAGAAGCACTAGAAGCAGAATAATAGATAGGTAACACACAAAACTCAAACCACTATTGAAGGAACTTTTAGAAGATTTTCTCATAATAATTTCATTAAACACCATCATCCCTGAAACTTATATTGGTTCCTGAGTTCATCCTCTTCTCTGAATTTCCTTTCCTCCCTCTGCTATCACTTCTTTTTTCCAAAGAACACGCTTAGGCTAATTTGAAAAGGTTGCCTCTTGAGCACAAGTACTCTAAGATACGTCTCGTAGAAGAGGAACTGGGGCCTAACCATGTATCCCAACCTTAAAGTTAACCCCTAGAACCTAAGTCACTTTAGCAAGTAATGGAAAAAACTTCAGCTGTTTCTTATCTGATGCACCATTTCAAATCAAATGAAAAAGAAATATCTAATACTACTGAAACTATAAAAGAACATGCTTACCTTACCGAGGATCAATTTGTTAGCATGTACAAGCCGTTACTACCATAAAAAAGATTCAGATTTACAGTTTGAAAGTCCCTATAAAAATCTCTGTCCTTCATCGTCATTATTCTCATATTAGGTTATAAAGTCTCATAACTAAGTTAAGTGAAAAAATAGACTTAGATATTCTCCTAAGGAGAAGAGTGAAAGCAGGAGTCCCAGATTTTTGTGCCTCACGAAAATATGCAGGTGGAACTCATGCCTGAAGCTCAAAAGCCTAGTTCATCCACCAGTAAATTACTGATCTATGGAATCTAAATGGTTAAATTATCTGTACAAGGGCAATTGACAAAGCAAAAGTACTACCTGTTTTACCATCACTGATAAAGTCAGATTTTCCTTTCCGCAGGACTGTAACACCGCCAATCCTGATCAAATGGATATTTTACCTATTACACCTCTAATAGAAGTAAAAAAATACAATGAGATGAACATTGACAGCTATATACTGGCCAACCAAAACACAGTTATATGTACATCCTCACAAATTGGGTCCAAACCAGAGGAAAATACTATAGTGGTTGCGAGCCTCTTAACCATGTTCCTCGGTCCACGGTTCGAAATTCGGTGGATAATGGGCCTGCCCCTTTATCCTTCTCCACTTAAATACCAGACTATTATTATTTGGGGTAGGGTTCAAACCCGTGACTTGCGCTTAACCAACATATCACATGTTGCGCTCTTACCACTAGACAGAAAACACGGTGCCAGATAGCTTTAACTTTTGAGACTCCATCACAGTTTTTTTATTAACCGTATTATAGTCCTTAAACATTACAAAGTCAGAAAACAACTCGCTGAAAAATATCAAAGACTTTTGGGATAATGATATTCCGGGACCGACTTGTGTGTAACTAGACTAATCCACCGAACAGCCAGCTAAAATTCACAGAACAATTTCTTTTTAAACCTGCCATCTGACAGAAACAGATGGGCTCATCCTAAATGTTGCAGTTGGTATTTGAACCTGGGATCTTTGAGTTGTTGCTCCTATTTCTGAACCACTCAGCCATACCCTTGTGAACAAAAGTCAGAGTTAAATGACGTATATTTCTGAATTACATACACCAACTTGAAACAAAGTTACTAAGAGGTGCATAATTCATTTCTTCCTCAAGGAGGGGAAAATCTGTGTAGGACCTATTAAACATATAATGTTATCTTTTGGCACTCTAAAGGAGTTGAAGTTTTGTAAGGTATAATGTAGGTCTTGACATATTAAGTTTTCAATGTATCACCATGGTTTTGAAGAAAAAGAAAAAATTGGCAGACTGTTCTTTAGGATCACATAACTTTGGACATCTATCAATCATTGTCAATTTAAAAGGACAAACATCAGGCAAAGATGAGATATGGATTAAAAGACTCACCCTTTTGCAAGAGACAACAACTGATCGGTTCCGTTTTGGTCATTTACCTCAGAGTTTAGTACTTTCTGAACAAGTCGTTTATACTCATTTACATTTGGAGTCAGGACTGCTAAGGGATAGCCACTAACCAGATCAAGAGAATTAGTCACGAGAAAAAGCCCATCCTGATAAAACAAAGAAGACCACCAATGGCATATCAAGAATAAACGCCATATCGAATATTAGACAATTGGCTTGCAATATAATAATGCCATCACATACCCCATCTATAACCATTGGGACATTGCACTCTCTTGCATGCTTCATGATATTACTTACACAGTCCTGGAAGAATAAACATGCGATCAAAATCCAATTGTACCAAAAGAACCCACAAAAAGGTGAAAGCTTAAAAAGAGGAGAAAGAGAAATTTTCTGCACATAAATTTCCAGATAATGCAAGATAATTGTGAAATGATACTTCCTGGTAGCATTAATGGTATCATGCTTAGGTGGCCCAATTTTCTTGGCAGCATAAAAGCTTAAAAGTGGTATGTTTACTCTTAAAACTGAATCGAGTATGCTCGGGAAAGATGAGATGGATTTAGATCACAAGCATGTCCTGTCCACAACCAAACATATTCTGAGGCTTTATATAGTTGCTCCACTCTCATGTTCAATGCTAATCATCTTTCTTTCTGGACATATTACAAAAACTGATATATCTTGTACGTTTCCAAGTTTCCAACTTTTCAGGATCATGCACTCTATCCTTTACATCCCTGACCCACAAAGTTACACAGACTTTGAATACTTACCGTGCAGTAATATTTCTTCAATGCAAACAAATAATTGAAACAAACCAGATCGATATTTTACAGAAGACATGCATTTGCTTTTTCAAGGAATAGTTATCCATATCAGCTAAAAGAAAAGGCTCGGAATTAAGCAAATGTGACAAATGACACCAAGAAGTCAATTTTTCCTCATGCACAGAAGACCAGAATCCCCTATGATGAAAGTATCACCAAATATTTGCCTTTAGCTAGAAAAACACAAAGATGGCACATTACAATGATGAACTTTCTAGTTTTTGTATACATGGAAAAATAAAGTTAGTGAGCCATATATACAGCTGAAAGGACAGAGATGTGATGGTAGGCTAGAAATCCGTGTTTTAACCGTATTTTGCACTGCACTCTAATTACTGCATTTTACTTGTGTTTGAGCTTAAATGATAGTGATTTGCACTTAATACGTGTTTTATGCACTTAATTATGATTTGCACTTAATCTGCTCTCTAAAGATGGCCACTAATGCGGTGCATCATGCATGGCACGCCGCGCCTGTGTATTTTCCTTAGAGTAATTTCCCAATTCGACTGGGAAAGGGTAGTTCCATCCGGACCCGCTTCTACATGGTATAAATACACAAAAATACGATTTTGAGAGGATTTTTTCACCTACGAAAGATTTGGGAAGTAACTAAGGCAAGAAGACAAAAGAATTCATCAACATTTCAACCAACAATCGATGCAATAAGGGAGTTTGTATCGAATCATTAGCATTGATGCTTTCTATGTCTTTAAACCTTATTGAGATGAATTTTTCCATTGCTATGGAGTAATTTCCCTTAGAGTGTTGATAGATATGGTGTATTGATAATTTGATTAGGGATTCGATTCTTGACAATTGCTTGAATTAATTGATGGAGTTTTAAATCGTATTGTGAAGTTATTTATTATTTTGCTTAATCGAAAGAGGAGCTTTATATTGAATTTTTTTACATCTTATGCTCTAGTTTAAATTCGTGATTCAACTAGGTAATCGAAAGACCCTCGTGAATTATTAATCGAACTAGAAAATGGAAAAATATTCGTGAGAAGTTACCCTTCAGATTAAAACCATCATTATATTCGTTGCAATTGTTCACCGTGCTTCAATTGGATTATTTACTGAAATTAACATTTAATCGAAAAAGGAACCTTAACTTCAAGTGTAATCTAATTATCTGGTGAATTCGTGAGAATCAACAGTATTATAGAGTGAACTACTTCAAGAATTGGATCCCGAGTCAATTCTTTTGCACCTGTCTAGTCAATTACCCTTATTTCTCTCACTGATATTTCTTTGTTGTTGAACTGTTGTCTTCCGTGATTAATTGATAATTGCTTAAATTTAGTAGTTAATTGTAATTGAAAATTAATCCAATCAAGTGTTAATTTTTCTGGATAGCAATTAACTAAAAATTATTTGAATACTGTTTAAATCCAATCTCTGTGGAGACGATAATTAAACTATACTATCTTTGACTAGCAAACAATAATTTTGTGTTGTGTTTTGCGCTCGTCAAGATGCAAGAGGGAGATAAGGATTAAGCAGATTTGAGATCATGATCTTTGGGTCANCCTATAGAATTTAGGTCTTCCGCAGGGCTCTGTTACCGTCCCCGAGGAGGACGTTCTATCTGATCCGGTTGATGCGACGAGGTTGCTGCAGGAGTATTTTACCCGAACTGGTGTCACTAGGCCTGCTTCCGGTGCAAGTGCTTCTTCTCGGAGTCTCCGGCAGGAGAAAAAGCAACAAAAAAGGCAACATTTTTCCGTGGCCGAGGGTAAAAATAAAAAGGCGAAGAACTTTGTGCCCGAGCCATCCGCGGACGCTGTAGTGATGAGCGTCGCGCCCGAGCCATCCATAGACACTGTGGTGATCGATGACGATGGATGATGCTAGTTCTCGCTTCCAAGTCCCAGTCGTCGTGCCCGGTACTGTGAGGCTGGGCACGTGAGGGGTACAACCAAAATCAACATGTGCCAATTTTACTTGGTTAAAAATTATTCTTTTAGTAATAATGATCAAACTGTCTCTATTCCTTTGATGTAGAAATATATATTGCCAAATATATAGGCAGTCCCCTAAACTTGGCCTGTTATTTTAATTAAATATTTAAATTGAAATTAGTATTTATTGATTACCTAAACTTTATTAAAATTATCAATTAGGCACATTTAGTTAACATCGCAAAGTAAGTGTTTTTCAGTAAATAAGCATTTAATCACATCTAAACCCTCCCAAAATTAGGGGAAGAAGAAGTGATCTTTTTGCATGAGTGATTAAAACAAAGCACTTGTTGCAACTGAATACTAGGAACAGACAAACATCAGGTGTAAGGATGGAAGGGCTTGAGTAAAAAGAGCACACCAGGAGAAACGGATCCCTTCCAAGGCCTGGACCAACAACAAGACAATCAAACCTCTCCATCCACTTCTCAACCTCAGCAATCACTTTAGCTGCTATCGAACTTTTCTCCTCGTCCCTGGAAGAACCGTTTGGTCACAGTCAGCACCCTCAAAATTAAATTTATGATGCTTCAATAACGGAAACCAAAGAAACACGCTAAGAATGTGCATTCATAACAAAGACTCACCTAATACTGTAGGACTCTTCTAGAATAGGGTGCACAATTAACTCGGGACTATAGCTTTTTATAACAGGAGCAGCATCTTTGGTACAGAATACATGGGATAAATCTGCACCCTGAGAAAACAGGCCAATACCCATGCCAAAAAAGGTCTCAGCTATAATTGCATAATTAAATTGTAGTAAAATTTAAATAATTCAGTACTGAAAAGGATGGTTTAATTTCCCTGGGAGGGTGTGGGGGAGCGAGGAGGAGGAAAGAGAAACTGACAAAAAGTAAAGAAGAGAGGTTTAGAACTAACAATCTTTAAGGCTGAAATTGCAGAGAAGTATGGTGCACCAGTGTATTCTCGACAGCCACCAACAACAGCTATCTTCCCTGATTGAGAAATAGAGTTCAGAAATTAACAAGAAGTACCATAAAGGGAGCATCATCAGATGCAGAAATGCAAAAAATTTGTCAAGCTCAATGGTCAAGTCATTACTTCTTTTCTGTTAGAAATGTCACACATAAAACAGAAAAACATAAGCAACGCAGTTCACCTCTGATGGGCACTGCATTAGTCATATGATTTTCTGTTAATCTTATCTTTTCTGGATTTTCCAAACGTCAAATTCATANGGGGGGGTGAAAATTGTATATCTTGATAAACAAAGATCAGTTAAAATGACAATCATCAATGAAATTTGCCTGATAAAATAGATAGATATTTATGTGACAAAACTTATGCTATAAATATTTATGAAAAAACTCAATAAAGTTTCCGTCATAAAAAAAAACTGTTATAATACTAGTTGAGACCAAAATCAGATATTTGAGATTGAATGAAATTCATCATATAGCATAAATAAAGAACACACAAACTAATTGAGACTTGAGACCAGAATCTATAAAGGACTTGATTAATTGTATTATTCAGCATAAAAAACTTTCAGCAAAGTTCAATAGCATCAAAATACTGGAGAGAAATAGAAACTCAAATTTCTAGATACAGAATCTAATGCAACTTCTTCCCCTTTTTAAGTCCTGATTAGAATGGTTACTCCCCCAAGGACCCCAACTAATATAATCACTTAATATGACAAGAACTACGTTTGAATAGATCCGCATTCCCCACAAATGTCCATCAAATCCCAACACAAATATAATTAAGATATTGATGGACTGCACATCAAACTGTAACATGGAAGCTAACCATTCAATTGTTGCTCATCCGAACACAGAGCAAACAACGGAAAAGCAAATGAAAGAACAAAGCCCATAAGTCAGCGATTTCTCATCCGGCAACCACCTAACAAATAGGTCTAGAGATTTCATGATACCATGCAAATTCTATAGTGTTCAACTGATACTTAAGCAATGTTCAACTGATAGTTAAGCAAGATTGCATGATACCATGTCCATTCTGTAATTTATTTATTTTTCACATATATTACATTCTTCGCCCTAGCAGTATTTTAGTGACGTGACTCAGAAGGCTGATATTGAAGTGAGGCTGGATACACAAGCCATCCCCAAGAGAGGAAGTTTCAAGTATCTTGGATCTCTTTTTTCTTTTTTTTTGGATAAGGTAAATTTTTTTATTAATATGGTACCAAGAAGGTACACATAAGTACAATCAAACCATACGATCCCTATAATAGAATCAAGTTATATAATTTCCAAGTGAATCTAAGAAATCTAAATACTGCTCCATGTTTTCTAGCAACCTCCTCTCACACCAAAAACACAGTTATGCAGGCATAGGTTTTTGAATATGATTCTTTTTATTCTCAAAACAAGCACTATTTCTCTCACTCCAAATAGTCCAAAAAATACACAAAGGGATGGTGGTCCAAAACTGCTTCTGGATCTTTGTTGTCCTCTGTCCATTCAAACTTTCCAGTAGGTTCCTAACATCTGAAGGCATGACCCAAACTACACCACACAGATTTAGGAATAGCTGCCAACACTTGTTTACAACTTTACAATGGATAAAAAGGTGATTCAATACTTCCAGTTCCTCTTCACAAAGATAACATCTATTACCTAAGATGAAACCTCTCTTCCTTGTGTTAGGCATGGATGACAACCCATCCAAAACATGCTGCCTTGACAGGTGCTTTGGTCTTCCAAAGCATTTTCCATGGCCAATCTGCCTCAAAGTACTCAGATTGTTTCTGCGAAAGTGCTATAACAGCTTTTGATAGAATATTTCATATCATTACTTGCTGTCCAGATTTTAACATCCTCTTTATTCTCCTCTACCACTATTGTACCCAATAGTTGTATTAGTTGTCCAACCTCTTCCACCTCCCAATCATTAAAATCTCTCCTAAAATTCAATTGCCACCCATTACAGGAATGAAATTCGGAAACACAACCTTCTCTACTAAAAGAGCAATTGTACAAAGTTGGGAATCTATTTTTATTCCCAACCAAACTTCGGACCAAAACTTTATTTTGGCACCATTGCCCAGCTTCAATTTAGTGTGCTGCTTAACCTCATGCCACAGTTACTTATATTACCCTAAATACTACCTCTTGAAACATTTTGAGCCAAAGGAGGGCTCCATGTATCCTTTCTCACATATTTTGCATTTATCAGATTCTTCCAGGTTTTCTCATTCCTATCATTATATTTCCATAGCCATTTGAAAAAGAAGCTCTTATTGTGTAATCTGAAATTTCTAACCCCCATACCTCCACCCTTCTTGTCAATCATTACCTTCTGCCATTTTACTAGATGTAATTTTCTCTTATCTGCACTGCCCTCCCATAGAAAATTACTCCTTATAGCATTTAGTTTTTTCTCAACATAAACAGGAAACTGAAACATTGACATAAGATGGGTTGGAATTCCATCCAAAACACTGCTTACTAATGTGAGGCTACCTCCCAATGAAAAATATTGCTTTCTCCATGGAGTTAGCTTGCTAGTACATCTATCCAATACGCACTGCCAGATCCTTTTCTCATTCTTCTTTGCACCCAAAGGGAGCCCCAAGTAGGTTGAAGGTAACTTCTCTACCTTACAACCCAAGACCTCAGCCAAATCCTCTATACAATGATCTGCATTAATACTAAGCAAGCTACTCTTTGCTAGATTCACCCTTAAACCTATCACTGCTTCAAAAATTAAAAGGATCCCTAGGAGGTATAGAAATTGTTTTATATCTGCTTCACAAATTATCAATGTGTCATCTGCATATGAAATGTGCGAAAAGCCACAATTTACACCACCCCTTCTTCTCACTTGCAACCCCCTAATCCAACCCAAATGTTCAGGTTTCTTTAACATTCTACTGAATATCTCCATAACTATCACAAACAAATATGGGGATAAAGGATCCCCTCTCTTAGCCCTCTAGAAGATTTAAAAAAAACTTGAGGACTACCATTTATGAGGACCGAAATCTCACAGTGGATATGCAATATTCAATACATTTCAGTCATTTTTCACCAAAATTCATTTGCCTCATGGTGTCTAATAGGCATGCCCAATTTACATGATCATAGGCCTTTTCAAGGTCCAATTTGCAAAGTACCTGTTGCCTTCTATTCCTTACCAAGTATTCCACACATTCATTAGCCACCATAGAAGTATCAACTATTTGTCTCCCTCCTATAAAAGCATTCTAGTTATCAGAAACTAGCCTTCTTGATAGCCCTCATATCAATAACTTGAGTCTTTCTGCCAGCAACTTAGCAATAATCTTATAGACACTCCCCAAAAGACTGATTGGCCTAAAATCTTTTATTTCCACTGCTTCTTTCTTTTTAGGAATTAAAGCTATGAAAATAGTATTGAAGCTTTTAGTAATGCATCCACCTTCAAAAAATAGATTCACAGTATCTCACACATCATTTCTGGAAAAAATGGAGATTAAATCCATGTGGGCCTGGTGTCTTATCTCCCTTAAAAGTTTTATCTCATTCCAATTCTTCCCGAGTGACAGGTCTTTGTATCCATTCTTTCTCTTCCTCTGTTAGTTTAATTAAATCCTCAGCATACCATTTTGGTCTCCATGTTTTAGCTTCCTTGAACAAACTTTTATAAAAATCCAATATATGTTCTTTGATCAATCTTTCATCTTCATTTAATTTCCCTTCGATAACTATCTTATTAGTACAGTTATATCTTCTATGAGCATTTCCCTGCTTATGAAAGAATTTTGCATTTCTGTCTGCATGTTGGATCTATATGCATCTTGACTTCTGCCTTCATGAGATTTCCTAAGACTTGACAATATCTTCTAACTCTTTACTGATAGCAAACCTTCAATTCTCCCTTTGATCATAATTATGAACCAATTGTCCTTCCTAATCCAAAGCTTCAAGATCTTTATTCTATTCTTTCAAATCTTCTTTCAGCAACTTCAGCTTTTTTGCCAATATTTCATCAGCTCTGCCTTGTATATTGTATGAATTCCACCATTATCCACCAAATCACTGAAGTCCTTGTGCTCCAACCATGTGTCTTCAAATTTAAAATAGTCGTTCCCCTTGCTCCAATCACCACATTCCAACAAAATAGGACAATGGTCTGAGGCCACCCTTGGCAGTACTCTTTGTTTTATTAGTTTAAATTGCTCATCCCAACTTTCTGAGGACAAGAACCTGTCTATTCTGGAAGCACTTTGATTATTTTCGCCTTTGAACCATGCAAAAGAACCTCCATGGAGTGGTGAATCCATCAAACATAACTCACTAATGATTATGGAGAAATCCCTCATAACTCTAGTATTTCGAGCATTACCCTTCTTCTCATCCTCAAATCTAATAACATTAAAATCCCCACCAATTACCCAAGGCTGTGAGTTCAAACCATAAACTGCAGCCAACTCCTTCCATAATTCCCTTCTCAATTTCCTGTCACATGATGCATAAATCCCAGTAAATGTGCATTGAGAGGCAAAATTTACCTCCTCCAAAAATATTGTTACTGAATGTTGTCCCACATATTTGTCCCTACAACTCCACCTCCTTTTATCATAATACACCACTATTGCCTTGAGCTTCCAATTCCACTCATTCACTCCACCTAGAACCCCCAATTTTCATAATGTCTTTCTGACTCAGTCCTTCTATTTTTGTTTCAGATAAACAAATAACGTCTGCATTCCATCTCCTTAAAAGCAAATCTATCAGATTTCTTTTCCCACTGTCATTCATGCCCCTGACATTCCAACAAATAATTCTCAGCTTCATTAAGAAATAAAAGAGCCCTCCTATCCTTACCTTTGCCACCAAAGTCCCCACCAGAACTGGATTTCCCTTTAAATTTAACCCCAAACTCCGATAATTTCTTTTCCCCCTCACACTTCTTACCAGGAGAAATAGTTCTGTGAATGTTCACAGAAGAAGCAAATTTCTTTGGCCTTCCATTATCAATTCGTAGCAGTAACTCTAACAATCTTTCTTCTGTTTCTGTTGACTTCACTCCCAGTTGTTTACTGATTTTCACCATATGTCCTTTAACCTAATTCGAAACTGCCATCTAATTTAATCTCTCCTGCACGTTTAAAATTACCCCTTCATACCAAGGAAACATTAGTATCTCTTGGGTTGTCTCTATATCTTGGGTCTATAATCCAAGGTAACAAGGAGATTGACGATAATGTCACACATCGTATTGGAGCAGGGTGGATGAAATGGAGGCTCGCATCCGGCGTCTTGAGCGATAAGAATATGCCACCAACACTTAAAGGTAAATTCTACCGAGTGGTGGTTAGACCGACTATGTTGTATGGGGCGGAGTGTTGGCCAGTCAAGACCTCTCATGTGTAGAAGATGAAAATAGCGAAAATAAGGATGCTAAGATGGATGTGTGGGTATACTAAGAAAGATAGGATTAGGAATGAAAATATTCAGGATAAAGTGGGAGTGGCCTGTATGGTGGACAAGATGCGGGAAGCAATGCTGAGATAGTTTGGGTATGTGAAGAGGAGACGCACAGATGCCCCCTGAGTAGGTGTGAGAGGTTGGCGATGGCGAGTCCAAGGAGAGGTAAGCTGAAGAAGTATTTGAGAGAGGTGATCAGGCATGATATGACACATCTTCAGCTTACCGAGTACATGACCCTTGATAGGAGGGTGTGAAAATCAAGAATTAGGGTAGTAGGTTAGTAAGTGTCACGACCCAAAATCCCACTAGTCGTGATGGCACCTAACCCAATCCGCTAGGTAAGCCAACTTTCAATTATCCAATTACAATAACAATTATTTAAAAGAGAATATCTAAAACCAATACATTTCCCTAAGAACTGGTAGTACAAATCATGAGCTTCTAAGAATAGAGTATACAAAGCGGAAATGAAATAATACATAGTCTGTTTGAATAATACATAAACAGAGCTTTTATAAATCTAAGGCTACTCTGAACAAAAGGCAGCTACAACAGGAACGCAGGTACATCTTCAGATCCCGCAACCATCGAGCACAGCAACAACGACAACCAATATCTGCACGCAATGTGCAGAAGTGTAGTATCAGTACAACCGACCCCATGTAGTGAGTAAGTAACAAACCTAGCCGTAGGTTGAAAGTAGTGACGAGCTTCTACCAAGGTCAGAGTCCAACTTCCATAACCAACAATAGTTCATAACAATATTAAACAAGTAATACCAGAAGTAACTCAAGAATAAAGGCTCAGCTAAATCATAACTTCTGAAAATAGTTTTGCCTTTCAAGTACATCAATGAAAACCCGAATCGCATACCGAAAATTACCAAAAATACGAATAAGTTTGAAAACAATAATTTTTCCAAAATCCTTTCAATGATAAATAAAATATCTCATTTTCTTTCCCAGATAACCAGTGTAAAACAAATGCATCACTATGCCCATCTGTCAACATGTGAGAGAAATCATGAATAATGTGATGTCGTACAGCATGAGGAAAACACATCTCTATGCATATATGTCATGTGTGCATGTCAATGCAATGTATCTCAGAGATTGCACTCATGTACTCACATTCTCAGAGTACTCAATCTCATTATCTCGCATTCTCTCTCAGTGTGCTCAGCACACTCAATCACTCAGCGCTATATAATACCTGCTGCGGCGTGCAGCCCGATCCATGTTTATAGTCGACTGCGCACACTGGGGGTGTACAAACTCATGAGGGGCTCCTACAGCCCAAGCGCTATAAACACGGATAACTAACGTGCTGCACGGGGAACTCACGTGCTATAATATCATATCTGGATCCGCACGGCCAACTCACGTGCAATAATAATATAAGGATCCGTACGGCCAACTCACGTGCAATAATAATATAAGGATCCGCACGGCCAACTCACGTGCTGCACGACCAACTCACGTGCAATAAGAAGCCAATCAGGCCTGTTGCAGGCGGGCAGCCCCGATCCATATAATAGTAATAATATATATAAGCTGCGGCGTGCAGCCCGATCCCAAAAATATCCTCACAATCAGGCCATCGGCCTCCCTCAGTCATCAATCTCTCCAGTCTCTCTCTCATGGGCTCACAATGTCATGAGAATAGCCCAAAATGATGATATGATGTATCAATAAATAACAACAGAGACTGAGATATGATATGCAATGAAATGAATGTGACTGAGTATGAATTTTCAATTTAAAATAAATATTTCACAACAATATGACCTCTGTGGGTCCCAATAATACTGGCACATAGCCTCAACATGATTTTTAGTATGCTTTTCAGCTCAATTTCTTTAACTCATAAAATCGCATCGAAAATGCCAAGATCATTTAACTACAAAATTTCACAAAAACAATTATGTCACAATTTCTATAGTGCACGCCCACACGCCCGTACCTAGCATGTGCGTCACCTCCCAACAATTTACGAAATACATATATTCAGGGTTCACACCCTCAACTCCAATATTAGAAGAGTTACTTACCTCGAGCAAGCCAAATCCAATGCCGAGCAAGCTAAACAATGCTCCAGAAATCCCACTATGCGCGTATCAACTTCCAAACTGCTCGAATCTAATCACAATTAATTTGATTCAGCTTACAAAAATTATAGGAATTAATTCCATATCAAAATATTAATATTTTCCAAAAATCCGAAATTACACCCCAAAAATCACCCGGGGGCCCACGTCTCGGAATCCGATAAAACTCACAAAATCCGAACCCCCATCCAACCACGAGTCAAACCATACCAAAATTACTCAAATCTGACCACAACTCGGCCTTCAAATCCTCAATTTAAACTAAGAGAGTTTTCAAACTTTTCCAACGTAATTCACCAATTAAATGATAAAAACAACCATGGATTCGGGTAATTTAACCAATATTGAGTTAAGAACACTTACCC